GTAACTTCACTGCTTGAGCACAGTCACCTCGGGCTTATTTGAAATGAGACTGACTGGAAGGGAGTGTTTCGAAAGAGCCTTAAGCACCTTTCTTAAAGTCACTACTCCTAAAATCCAGCTTTTTGTTTTAGTGACCCGTTAGCGATACCAAAAGGGCATTTTAGATGGCTTCTTTTTTCTTACCAAGATTGTTTTCTTTAGAAGAGAGACCTGGAGGTTTCCTAGCCAGAAAGCTGGTCACTGCACTGCTGCTGTGCTCCATGCAGGACCATGTTAGTTTATTATTTGAAGGGGATTTTAATTTTCTAAAGACTTGTCCAGCGCAAAGGTGACCAAGTGGATGTGTTTAACTGGGAAACTAACGGGTTAGAGCTGTAACGTGGCTGGTGTGGCTCAGCTGGTGAGAGGTGACCAGTAAGCCATGTAATGGAGAGATCTGCCCTTGGTGAGCCTAATCCCCAGGCTGCCCGTGGCTCGGGGCTTTGCAGAGAGGGTGTGGACAGAGCCTCTTCCCTTTGCCGTGGTTTAAGGGCTGGATTCTGCTAGCAGTGGGAGTAAAGTATTAATGTTCATTGCAAAGTGCATCAGGATGTCATCATCTGCCTGTGGTTTCTTTGTTCTCACAGACTGGAGGTCCAGGAGGATTCGATTTAGCTGGTTTGCTGAACAACCCCGGCTTCATGAGCATGGTAAATCCAGGCACAGCTGTGTCTCGGCCTGCCCTGGGTGAAATTATCCCTGCGTGGCGCGGGGAGCTCCTCTTGTCTCTTCAGCAGATTTATTTTCATTTCGTTTCTCGGTTTCGGTGTCGCTGTGTGGAAACTCTGCTTGTATCTCCCAAAGGTCAAATGACTGATTGACAGGCTTCTTGTGGTGTGCGGGGTGTGGCAGGGTGCCTGTTCCTCATTACCAGCCCTGCCTTGTGTGTCGCTCTGTGCTTTTCTCAGCTATTTTTATCCTATTGATCTGTTTCAAATCTGCCTTCACTTTGTTTGTAGTTGAATGGCACATCATCTGCATATCTACCCAGTCATTTCTGACTAAATAGGGTGTAATTTTTTTTCTCCCCTCTTTAAATAGGCATCTAACCTAATGAACAATCCACAAGTACAACAGCTGTAAGTTTGATCCCGTCTTGTATTTCCTCTTTGAATCACTGGTTTGAGGCTCCGTGTGTGGTTGGCATTTGCAGTAGGGCTGACATGGTGGGAGCAGGGTGGTGTATGGAGGGCAGCCCTTAAACCAGGCCAGTTGCCTGAGCTAGTGTGTCCTCTGAGTGCTCGGGACTGTGCTGAAGAGGGGTCTTAGTATAAATGTTTGCAGAAGGGAGGGAGGAGAGACTGTGGGGTTGGGGAGCTCGGGGTCAGTTTGGCTCTGCTGTGCAGGATTTAGTGACCTGGAGACAGGATTTCATAGCTTCATATGAGAGCGAGAATGTTTTCAGTCTTTGGGCTACAGGATTGTGAGGATCAGTTCCCAGTGTTTGTGAGATGCTTACGTAGTATAAAGTTATAAAATTAATAATGCACGTACCTCTCCTGACTGTCCTTTCAAGAGCGCAGGTGGGCAGCGAGTTACAGACCTTCTGCAGCTCATCCTTTGATTACCAGGGGAGATAATTTGGCTGAAGGGCTGAAAGCCAGCCACCATTTCCATTTGCTTCTGCCTGCTTCTTCCACTGCTGCTGCCAGCTGAGGGTCTGCACCAGCTGCAGCGGGAGAGCTCCCAGAGGAAGGGGCTGGGTAGACCCGGTGTATTCTGGGCTGTTCCCAGTGAGGGAATCATGTTTAGGCTGCCCTGTCAGTAGATCTCACTTGATGCAGAGCAAGCAAATAGCTTCTGTGAGGAAGGGCAGTGTTTAAATGTAACACAGGGCTTGCACGCAAAAGGGGGAGTCTCTGGGAATACAGTAACTGACACTATTATAAATATTTCTACATATTGTGCAGTTTAATGTTAGTTACTCTTCTGCAGTTAATGTACAAAAAGTGTTTGCAGAAGATTCCCTTGCAGGTAACTTCATAATCTGTGTGGGAAGGTGCTCCTGTTCCGCTGACACTCCCCTCCCAGCATAAACCAAACAATTTCTTTGGGTTTTTCCCCACTCTAAGCAACGGCTGTTACTTCCACAGCATGTCCGGGATGATTTCTGGTGGCCACAACACCATGGGAGCAGCAGGCACAAGCCCCTCCACGAATGATCTCGCCAGCCTCATACAGGCGTGAGTAGAGCTGGGTGTTTCCTTTTGCCTTGGTCAGGAAATGGATTTGGGGGGTTTCTGACCAGAATTGGAAACTTTTAATGTTGAGGAAGGCTTAAATGCTGGGTGAAGTATCACCTCTCTTGGTGATGTGAGCTACTTGATAGAGTTTTGACAGTCGGCTCTGGAGAATTTCTGAGCATCAAACCGTGTTTGTGTGTGTGTGTGAGAGCACTAATGGGACAATTTCTTGTTCTTCAGGGGCCAGCAGTTTGCTCAGCAGATGCAGCAGCAGAATCCTGAATTAATAGAGCAGCTACGAAGCCAGATTAGGAGTCGAACTCCAAGTGCCAGTAATGAAGATCAGCAGGAATGAGCACTCCAGGTGAGGCTGTAGCCAGGAGTGCTGCTGTGCTGTGGCCAGCTGAGTGGGAATTTAGGAATTTGGCTGCAATATCTGTCATGTGCCTTACTTGGGTGATCTGGTGTGTCTCCCCTCCGCTCAGGCGGGGTTCTCTGCGTCAGTGCTGCTAGTGCTGAGCCTCAGGTGCAAGGCTCAGCCCTGAGGAGCGGTGAATAAGAGCTTCCCTCACACACTGTGTGACTGACAAACGAGTCTCGTTATCTAGTGCTCACGGTGGTTAAAGGGACACTTGATTTTCATAAAAATTGAATTTGCAAATGTCTTGTCTTCCTGTCTCTGCAGCGCAGTCCATGGGAACTATGTTCTTTGCTTTAAAAACTGGAAGCCATGTGCGTGTTGCCATTTCTTGAGTTGGAAGTGTCCAAGAGGGGGAAAAAAAATAATGGAAAAACAAAATACTTTATATGACCTGCATGTTAAAGACAGATTCACGCTTTCTTTCCCTAGTCTTCGTCCCTGCTCCTCCCCCTCAGCCTTTCCATTAGTCTTTTTTTTCTTCTGGAAGATCCAGCAAGCCGAACACAAACCAGCATCAACAGTCTTTCTAAAGAAACTCAGAAAATTATCTACACTGTTACATTTCTATGTTATTTGCTACATGGGAATTTTTTAACCCGTTTTTGAAGAACGATGCACTCTTCACTACAGGACGTCTTCACTTTCCTGCCCACGTGCCACTTCAAAGAAGTGTTCAAGTCCTCCCTAACCCCCAGTCCTGCCCCGTTTAATCTTCCTGCCAGTTAGAGACAGTAGTGTTTGACCACTCTGGGGATCACGGCATCTTCTTGCCTCCAGAAACAGGGTTTCTGTTGATTAGATTGACTGCGTTTCTCCTTCAGGTCTGTAGCAACATTGCCAGCGTTGTTAATACACGGGAGTTTGGTGCTTGCCTCTCACAGGTCAGTGTAAATGTGTCGGGGGGTTGGGACTGGCCATGTGCGACGGCTCCTTTCTTGAGGGCTTCCTGGCACGCTGCTTGGGGTTCTTTCCCAGTCCTGACAAAATTTGTCTAGTGTTTAGTAATTATGGCTATGTTGTTGGAATGATCCAATCTGTGAACTAGTCAGGTGGACAGTAAGAAAGATGTTTTTGGTGTTTAAAAGGATTTTTTTTTTCTGCTTTTTTAATCTTTTATGCATGTAAGTAATCAACCTGGTTGACTGTGCTAACGATAGGAGTAGAGGGCGCCAGAGTAGAGAGCAGAAGGAATAAAAAATGCTGCTTGGATAGTCAGAAATCAAGTGGCTGCTGGTTCAACGTGGGGGATTGGCGAGGAGTGATTACACCTCAGCGCATAGATGAGGGGAAAAAGCTCCTGGAGCCAACTCAAGTGACCCGCAGCTTCTAGTTCCCTCCCCGTGTCCCTCCTTGGGCGAGCAGAAAGCTCTGGCCGCTTCCCCTAGAAGTCACTAGTTGAGGCCAGAGACTTTTCGATGGACCTCAGAATCGGCTTTAAAGTAGTTAATTCAATTGTTCACGGCCTGACCGCTGGGGAAAAAGCGTCTGGTCTGAAGGTGGGGAGGTGTGAGATGGAAAACGCCCTTTGGCGAGACCCGCTGGTGTGAGTGAGCAGGTATATCTGAACATTAATATCAAGGAAAAAAAAAAAAAGATTTGTAAATGCTCCATAAAGTAATATGTGGTTAATGTAACTTGTGAAGAATAAAATATTTGGACACTTTCTTTGTTATCCCTCTTGCCCCCATGACTGAAGCAGGACCTGTGTGGGCTGCGGGGTCGGGGCTGGGGTCGCTGCCCAGCACAGCCCATGGACGGGTTTTATCCCCCAAATCCAGGGTGGGGTTTTTTTTGTTTTTTTCCTGCTGAAATGCTCCTCCCGTGTGTTCCTGCAGCACAGGGAGGGGAACTCTCATCCCATGGCTGCCTCCCCTGCTCCCTTTGTTCTCTCCAGCCGAGCCAAATGGGATATTTGGGGAATGTAGGACAGTGTGGAAAGAAAAATCTCGAGAATTACTCAAAAGGAGGGAAGTGCACGGATTTTTCCTCCTTTTTCAGGGCTGCTCCCCTCCCTCCTTCTCCTCCCTGCTCCGTTGTAGCTATAGATATAATTTTTTTTCCACGTCTCTTAATAATTTCATTTTTATACGCCTGAGTTCAAGGCGCAGCTCCCCGGGGCCGAGCTCCTGCTGGGTGTGGGGGGGGCCGGAACCCGGCGCCACCCCCCGCGTTTCCCGCGGACGCTCTTCGGCAACGCACCGCGGCGCGGTGGGCGTGGGCGGGCTGATGGGC